TGGTAACGGAGATACTACTTCGTCCTGCCAAGAGGACATTTGGATAGACGTTACGTCCGTGTGGGATTGAACGCACCTTCCTTCCAGATCACCGTGTTAAGCATATTCAAGTGTGGCCATCACATATCTCTATAACAAACAATTGGCTTTTACTATTCGAAGAAGCATACTGAAGCAGAGATGACTTCTGTCTGCGTGGAGAACGGCGTATAACGAGTACTATTCGTTTCTCTTCAGTCTTTCTAGTCACTTTCGTCGTTCAGTTATGAAAAAATCCGTAATGGGGCTCAGGTGTTTGTCCTCACTTTGAAACGGATAAGCCTACTTCAAAACGCAGCAGTGAGGTTAAGTCAATTACCACCACCACCACCACCACCATCCTCTTCATCCTCTTTTTCATCCTTCTGCCCTCATCCTGTTCCTCACCTACATTCCCCAGTCCTGTTTCAGCTCCTCTCCTCACTCCATTTTGATCCCCTAAGCCCACTCCTCCTCCTCCCCATTATTCTTTCTCTCTTCTTTCATAATCACCACCGCCACCATACGACTGTGTCCCTTGGGTCTGCAGGACGCCTATAAGTCGTGGGTGTGATTTACTGGCTCAAATATGTCTAGCCCTATTTCGAACACACTTGAACTTTTGGTGCACTCGGAGCACGTTACTAACCCTTGGAATCTGGTACGCGAAGTGTCAGTCACAATGATCGTTACTCCGTCAGCTATAGCTGCCAAAATTAAGGTGTTCGATACCAGCAATGTGGTGGGAGGGGAGTCTAAGCTATCTTGGAAACCCCTGCAGGGGATTTAAATCATGTTTTTCTGTGGTACGCAATGTAGATAACACCAGGCGATCACAAGCGATAACTGCCAAAGTCTGCAACCGTCGGCATCGTGAAGAAAGGCCGGTGAATGAGTTGCGGAATTCGCATCAGATTTGACTTCCTCCAGAACGATGCCAGCGTGATGTGTAGATGAGTTCATTATGGTGGGGGGAAGTCAGTTTATAACGGGTGTGCTAGGCGAACGGCTGTACATAAAAAAATTCCAAGTGAATGAAGAGCAGGGAAAAGACGGCGGCTCAATTTCGAAAACCCGCCAAATGTACGACTTTCCCTACACGAAATTATGCAGTTTGTAGTCCAGAAACCCTGAATGCAGGTGTACCGGCAGGTCGGGTTCAAACTTTTTCGAGAATTGGGAGTTTATAGCTGTTTTGGCAGATTTTGAATAATTCATACTGACCCAACTGTGAAAAACTCGGTGGGATTCGAACCCACGCAGTAAGGGGAAGGCTTTAGCGCAGCCAACGCTCTAACCACTTGAGTTACGAGGCTCCGCCGGACGACGCGAGTTTAATCACATTTGGGTCAAGTTACCCGTCCAACCTACTGCAACGTCTGGAATCCACCAAATCTGATACTGTAAGTTGACTGCCCAGGCAAGATTTCCTGAGTAATTCACCTAGAATCCACCAGATGACTACCAGGCTTACGTAATTCATAGGTGTTTTGGCAGATTTTGAATAATTCATATTAACCAAACCGTGAAAAAACTCGGCACCTCGGTGGGATTCGAACTCACACAGTAAGTGGAAGGCTTTAGGGCAGCCAACGCTCTAACCACTTGAACTACGAAGTCCCACCGGACGACGTGAGCACAGGTGGTTCACAGACGAAGTCGAACAGATGCGTCGTAGACGATTTACCGAAGAGCCGAAGTTAATCCGTGTCCCTCCACTCGGCACTTCCCGTCGCTGCAAGGTTGGGTATTCATTCACACAGGGCATCTGACTGTCGGAGGTAAACAAGCTCCAAGTTGGTGGCAGAGGATATGAACAGGCAGCCAGCTCACAGCTTGAGCTCGATCAGGTTAGTAGGATTTAGATAGAGTGCGTGGGTGTGGGTGGGTGGATGCACATGTCCAAAACAACCGAAATACTATCAACTCGGCCTTTCGGAAGTCACATGTTCAACCTGGGTAACGGAAAAGACGAAGTAACACCCCGACTACATGACTGCCCCAGCAGCGTCATGTATCGCGTTAAAATACCACCCAACAACTAAACGACCACACATATGCCACGTGAACAAGCTTCCAGAGTGAGCACTTGATCGGAGCAGGATGTTTTAGGAGACAAACCCGTGTGGTCTGGCACATGACTATTGCTCCACATCCGACACAGGTCATGACAGGCGTTCAGGTAGGAGGGTGGTTTGTGCACCTCTTGCTTTCACTGTCGACACGGAGAGAAAAGCGCAATTATTAGCCCGGGTGGCTGCCTGCCTACTTCCGACGACGTTGGGCGAATTCGAGTGCTGCCGATGGGGAACGTGTCTCTGCCAAGCCCACTAAGGGCGAACGACGGTCGGCCTCTTGTGCCGCCAAGGCTACACAAACGACATTAGAAAGTCACGCGCAAAGGAGGCTTGATTTGGCTTGGCTAAGTGATGGACAGAGATAGTAAGCGCGGGATAGGGGGAAAGCGTGAAAGGATCTCGGGGCCTGACAAGGAGGAAGATCTCCGCCAGGCTATGAAAAGTGCCCCATATAAACAGCGGTTAAGCGGCGCACCAGAAGTTCGCCCGCAATAACCCATAATTTAGTAAGGAGGAGGGAGACCAATCGAAAAACCTGAAGTGTTTGGTAATTGTTTGGTAATGCAGGTGTACCGGCAGGTCGGGTTCAAACTTATTCGAGAATTGGGAGTTTCCTAAAACCAAAAGATGCTCTTTTCAGAATGGGTAGAAGAAAGGGTGTGTTTGTGCATATTCCCGGGGGACGTATTTGAATTTATAAGGGCATCGAAAATAAATCGGAGAAGTTAATTCCATATAAGTAGTCATTCTTTACGGAATGCGGTTTGTGCAAGTGATCTGCAAGGAGCTCATTCGTAAGCCGGCATCCTGGCGTGACTGGAATATATTAACAGCATGCGACACAATGAGAACCTGTCTTAAGCAATCTTTTCCAACTGGAAACAAATTTCAGAATCCCGACTAACATTTCATGAGATAGCATGCCTTCTAGGGACGCTTATGCCCGATCGGGATATGCACGCCTTCCTACTCACACAGTTATCTCTGAGACCGTTAAACCAGGCCTGCGACAAGTTTTGAATTGTTAACCATAAACGCTGAATAATTGCGACCCTAACGTACGTTTTTGTGTGCGCGATCTGAGATTTCTTGTCATTTAGCCTGTGTTCGCCCGGAGGAAGCAGGCGTTATCCACGACACGCCTGCCAAGTTGATTTCCGGGACTCAGCTGGCCCCGTCATGGGGTGAACTCGGGCCAGTTGTTATGCCGCCTCAAACGGGCCACGTGGCAGATGCGCTGGACCAACGCGGGGGGGGGGCATATCGGATTCTGGCCGGCGTTGTCGGTTTGCGCACCATAACAAATGTCAAAATTTAGGGGTGCGGTGGCAGATCCGGCTGCCGCCCCCCCCCCCATTGCTGTTGTTGGTCAAAACCCGGTCATTGTTGTATGGACCAGGGAGTGTGGAGTGGAGCGCCAAGGTGTGGGCTCGATCGCGCCATCCACCTGCGCCCTCCCCCGCCTCCGGTCGTCTTGACTATGTCTTGACACCGGGTCCAGGTGGGGAATGGGTGAAGAGAGAGAGAGTGCGGTAGATGCTGTGCAAGTGTACCATCGCTATCAATTAAATCACGCACAAGTCACCGTGGCTGCTCTCAGCTCGCTGTGGAGCTCACGGTGGACATCGTCGGCAAGGACGCTCGAACTGTCGAGACCTGACTCCAATGGACGTTTTTCGGAGAATCCTGTTAGGGCAGCCGTCTACTTACGAAAATATCATTCAGACTGACAAAGTTACTGCATGTGCGCACTAAGAAACAGCCTGGTTGTTGTTGTTGCCAAATTTGCAAGGAGGCAGCCATATGTTGCCAAACTTTGCCTATATATCGGAGTAGAATGTCCGAAGTGCGTTGTAGTAAACACCAGTGAACCATTCGTCCATCTGATATTGCTTAAATTCTCATATGGCTGCAGGAAGGGGATAAAAACAAAAGTACCAAATTGTTCTGGACCTGCCTGAAGGAAAGATCTGGTCAACGTGATCGTCTGATGTATGAGTAACTTTTGATCTTGAAGGCAAATACCGTGTCCAACCTCGTCCCCATTCACGGCAGTATGTTGCGGTGCGCGGTGATGGAACTTCTCTGGTTATTGTCCGGCAAGATGAGGCGTGACTTCTTGACGTGCTGAACCTTCTAGGACCAGTTTCAAACCAAATTTTACGTGGTTTCGCGAGTTGGTGGACGTGGTCGTTACCGACTACTAGGTGCCACCGCGTTAGAGTCGTAGAAGCGGCGACTTGCCCTCAGCTTGAGCTTACTGGCCAGGGCAGTTACTCCCGGTGCGCGTTGTGTCGCGTGCACAAGATATTGCGGACTCCGCTGGGTGGTTGGTCGGATGGATCACTGCGTCGGCACCGTTGTGACGAGGCACGGTCTACACCGCTGGTCAGCCGGTGGGATGGATCTCCGAAGCGGCATGGCCGAGACGAGACTCCGCCTGGTACGCCGTTGGTCAGCCGGTGGGATGGATCTCCGAAGCGGCATGGCCGAGACGAGACTCCGCCTGGTACGCCGTTGGTCAGCCGGTGGGATGGATCTCCGAAGCGGCATTGCCGAGACACGTCCATCTAGTGCATCCTAGGAGACCACGGGCTTACGGCAATGTCGTAAGCCATTGGCAAATTCGAGCCGTTCTTCCACTACCAACAAAATTCGCGGGCCACAGTGGAGTTCGGCCGACCCGGCACATTTAAGGCAGCCCTATTTAGGGGCTGGGGGCATTGCTCGCATTCGGGGGGCCTGGAAAAGCTGGCTTAAAGATTCCTGGGGAACCACGTCGTCTGCAGGCTGACAGTGGTCACAGACGCTAAACTCACGGTCGAAACAAGCAAAATCGAAATAACAACAACAACAATCCACTCTCTCTTCTTCATCCTGCTTCTTCTTCCTCTTACTCTACCTATGCTTTTGCCTATTCTCCTTCGTCATCTTCTCCATCTCTTTCCCGCCGCCCCACTCGCCGCCGCAATCGCCAGACTGGAAGGGTGAGTCCGCTCACTCTGGCAGCCTGGAATGTTCGTTCCCTTTTAGACAATCCGAGGAACAACCGACCGGAACGGAGGACAGCGCCAGTTGCCCGAGAACTGGCGCGCTAAAAGGTGGACATCGCCGCACTCAGAGAGCCTGGATTCTCCGAACAAGGCCAACTGGAGGAGGTGGCTGCCGGCTACACCTGCTTCTGAAGCGTTCGCGGCAGGGCAGAGCGACGAGACGCGAGTGTCGCCTTCGCCATCCGGAACGACATCGTGGACGATTGCCCTGTTTCCCGCAGTGTAACAACGATCACCTGATGAGCCTCCGTCTGCCTCTTCGGGGAGGCAAATTCGCCACAATTATCAGTGCCTACGATCCGCCGATGACCAGCCCCGACACCGCAAGAGACAAATTCTACGAGGACCTGCACGCGCTATAGGCGACTGTGACGAAGGCGGACAAGTTGATTGTCCTTGGTGAATTCAACGCCCGCGTTGGCAAAGACCATGCTGCCTGGAGAGGAACGCTGGGTCCGCATAGTCTCCGCGGCTCAAACGACAATGGCCTGCTGCTTCTCCGCACCTGCGCTGAACACCGCCTCATCCTGACGAACACGTTCTTCCGTCTGCCGGAGCAAGAAAAGGCCACCTGGAGGCATCCTCGGTCGCGCCATTGGCACCTGCTGGACTATGTCCTCGTCCGGCGGCGAGATCAGCGGGACGTGCTGGTGACGAAGGCGATCGTGGGTGCTGACGGGTGGACCTCGTCACATCGAAGATGCGTATTCGCCTACAGCCTCGCAGGAGACCACAAGGTAAGTTGAAAATTGCCTTGTTGTCTTTGCCCCCTCACCATCTCCATTTCAGCACTGAGCTAGCTCAACGGCTAGACAGCCTTCCAATCGCTGCCGCCGCCGACGCCGCTGATGCTGAGAACGCCTCCGTGGAGGACCGCTGGTGTCAACTGCGAGACACGGTCCAGTCGACGTCGCTAGCCGTCCTCGGTCGCGCACGCCGCCAACGCCAGCACAGGTTCGACGACAACAACGCCGTCATCAGCAATCTGCTCGTCGAGAAGAACCGCCTGCACACAGCCTACGTAGGCCACCCCACCGACGACAATAGAGCAGCGTTCTACCGCAGTCGCCGTCTAGTTCAACAGCAACTGCGCAATATGCAGGAGGCCTGGACGGCCCGCAAAGCGTACGCGGTCCGTAACGAATGGAAGAATTTCTCCGCGATCAAAGCTGTCTACGGTCCGCCGACGAAGGGCACTTTTCCTCTCCTCAGGGCCGACAGCAACACCCTCTTTACCGAGAAGACACAAATTCTACAGCCATACAGTCGAGCAAATCCGAGGCGTCGTCAACCGACACTCCAGCATCTCCGACGCCGCCATCGCCCGCCTGTTGCAAGTGCAGACCAAAGTGGAACTCGACCTCCCGCCATCTCTCCAGGAAACCATCAGGGCCGTGCATCAGCTCTCCAGCGGGAAAGCACCCGGATCTGACGCAATCCCTGCAGAGTTCTACAAGCACGGAGGTCCCCAACTCATGGATAATGTGACTGCGGTCTTCCAGGAGATGTTGCGTCAAGGTGCAGTCCCGCAAGATTTCAAGGACGCAACCATCGTGCATCTCTACAAGCAAAAAGGGAACCGCCAACTCTGCGACAATCACGGTGGAATCTCTTTGCAGAACATCGCCGGAAAGATCTTCTCTCTTATCCTCCTCAACCGCCTGAATAATCATCTAGAACAGGGGCTTCTACCGGAAAGCCAATGCGGCTTCCGTCGTCATTGCGGGACCACGGATATGATCTTCGACCCTCTGCAACTTCAGGAGAAGTGCCAGGAGATGCGGATCCACCTGTACTATACCTTCGTGGACCTGACAAAAGCCGTCGACACGGTGAATCGTGAAGAACTGTGGAAGATCATGCAGAAATTCGGCTGTGTCGAGCGATCCATTCAGATGATGCGTCAGCTGCACGACGGTATGATGGCTCAAGTTACGGACAACAGAGCTGTCTCAGAGGCATTATCATTGACCAATGGAGTGAAGCAGGGATGCGTGCTGGCGACTACCCTCTTCAGTCTCCTGTTCACTGCCATGCTGATGGACACCTACCTTGATGACCATCCCGGGATCCGCATCGCTTACAGGACGGACGGTCATCTTCTGAATCAACGACGACTGCGCCATCAATGCAACTACTGAAGGAGGTATACAACGGAGCATGGACCTGTTCTCCGCCGCCTGCGAGAACTTCAGACTAGTCATCAACACGCAGAAGACGGTGGTGATGCACCGACCGCCACCCCATTCAGTCACACCCCGCAACGCGCCGTAAATCAGCGTGAATGGGACACAACTGTCAGTGGTGGAGAACTTCCCGTACCTGGGAGGTACCCTCTCCCGCCGCACCAAGATCGATGACAAAATCGCCCGCAGGTTTCCAGATGCCCTTCATGCCTTCGGACGACCTCAAAGCACTGTTTGGAATCGTCATAGTCTCTAAATGAGCAAGACTCTGAAGATGTACAAGGCCGTTATCCTGTCGACGCTGCTGCACGGAGCGGAGACTTGGACGGTGTACATGAAGCCGGCACGACGACCGAACCACTTCAACCTCAGTTGTCTTCGTCGCATCCTGAGACTGCGCTGGTAGGATCGAATCCCCGACACTGATGTACTGGAACGGACGGGAATCCTCAGTATCTACACCATGTTTAGTCAAATGCAACTGCGTTGGAGCGGCCACCTGGTGCGCATGGACGGCGAGCGGCTACCCAAACGACTCTTCTACGGAGACGTCGCCACAGGTTCTCGTCCCCAAGGAGGCCAAATTCGCCGTTACTAGGATACACTGAAGTCCTCCCTGAAGCGTCTGCAAATTAACCCGACCAACTTGGAAGACCTCGCCCTCCACCTACCGACCGACTTGGAGGAGGACAGCGAAGACAGGCGCTGCGATCTATAAAGCCATCCGCATCGCCGCCGCCAAAGTGAAAAGCGAATCACGCAAATCACAGCTGCGCCCACTACGCAACGCAGATCCACGACTGATTCCAACGTGTCCTCGGTGTCAACGGACATTCCGGACACGGATAAGACTTATAGGACACCTTCGGATCAACTGCGCTTCCCGGACTGCACCAAACGTCTTTACTCCGTCCGCCTCTTCTTCGTCCTCTCCGCCGCCAACCAACTCTGACTCTTCTTCCGAACCACCACTTCCATCCTCCTTCTCCTCCTCCTCCTCCTCCTCCTCCTCCACCGCGCCTTCCTCCTCTTCCTCATTCCCCTCCCCAGTTTTTCCCCCTCCATTGCCCCAACGACGACCGCTCTGGCGGCCGTCACGCACACCAGCACCACACACACATCACCCCTGCAACCTCTCACTCCAGATGTGAGGACCAGGACTACACCTGCCCTAACTGCGACCGCACCTTCACCTCACACATCGGCCTCGTCGTTCACTTGCGAATCCATCGCACGGAGACTGGCGAACCAGTGCCTGGAGCACCAACCTACATCTACCGCACTCGCCTTAACTGCCCACACCGTCCTCGCACATTCACGCATCGCATGGGCCTACTCGGCCACATGCGCATCCACGGAGACCTGCGGTAGTCAACCGCCGGCTGCACCACAGCCTTAAATCCCCCCTTCCTCCCTCACCACCACCAACACCACCACCACCACCACCAGCCCACCTCACATCAACACACCCACCGAAAGCATCCAACTGCCACCTCCCACGCAAGTGGGAAGTGCGCATCTCGACACGGTCCCCGTGCGAATTCTGCTGCGCGGGTGACTTGAGTCTGAGACTATCCCGACACGTCAAGCTTCGTGGATTGGAAGGCTGCTAATTGACACCCCCACTCGTTCCCCGCAGTCCATCCGGTTGTGTGTGTGTTGTGTGTGGAGTGGCGGACTGGTGGGCTGGGATACGGGCTGAAACAACACCTTCCACCGCTCTCTCATGCATGTGAGAGACACGCCGTTCAACCCCCGTTGAATGAAATCCTGGTGTTTGTGTGTGTGTGTGCGTCTGGGGGGCCAGGTCGTGCACGTGGCGCACGCAGACATGGTCAGTCGACCATGCCAACCACCGCGCCCATTCCCCTCTCCAATCTGCATACCGGCTCGGACAGCGGCTGAGGTGTGGGAATGGGAAGGCAGTGTGTGGTCGACGACTCAGCGCACTTTCCTCACTATAAATAATCTGACGCGCTTGAAACTATCACGGTGCACTAAAAGCCGTGGCTTGGAAGGTCGTCAACTGACGGGATAACTTGGACCTCCTCCTTCACTGGTGGTAGCCTGAGAGTCAGGCTGCAATGGCTCCTTTTTAATGTGGCCTTTATGGTACTCCCATCACCGTGTGGGATCCGAGCCAGGCGTTTCCGGCACGCCCAGGTGCGGCTTCGGCCGTGCCAGCCTCCAAATCTCTGTTGTGTTGATTGAAATCCTGGTCATTTGTTGTGTGGACCAGGGGGTGTGGTGGAACGCCAAGGTAAGGATCCGTCCGAGCCATCCACCTGCGGCCTCCCCAGTCTCCGGTCTTCTTGACTCTGTCTTGACACCGGGCTCGGTCGAGGGAGGAGAGAGAGTGTAGGTAGATGCAGCACAAGTTTACCCGCATTATAAACCCCTGCGCAATTCACCGTGCCTGCTCTTACCTGCTGTGGGGCACACGGTGGACATCATTGAAATCGATGGTTAAACTGTCGTAACTAAGTAATTTCTCAGAAAATTAGAAGGATGAAATTTCTTAACTGGACCACCAGTGAGAATGCACACGAGGAAGGCTGTCTACCAATCGATCACAAAATTTCATGACGTCAGTAAATTGTGCACCTGTGCCGTCGTTTTGCCAGTTAAGTGTGAGACGTCAGATGCTGGAATATGCTTCGATGTGGGGGCGAGCTTTGCCGACAGTCGTCACTGTCATTACTGGCGTCCTTGTTCAAGGCCCCGTTGCGTCAAGGTCAGATGTCCATGAGCGAGAGTATATGCCAATTAGCCTTGAAGTTGATTGGTCGGTTTATGCAGCTGTGATTGCCTGAAAATCAGATTGCCTCAGTGTTGCAACAGGCGCCTGAGTAGGGCCACTGTAGTTCATCATAGTCATTCATCCCTTTTTGCTCTGGAGATAGGAGCGTAAGTCCTGACACGCCGGAGGTCAGTAGATGTGCCGACTTAATTGAATGCACGCCTAGTCACCGGTACAATAGGGTGAGTCACGCAGTCACGTAAGCTCTCCGGTTTACAATGGCGGTTTCGTTGAAGTCGATGGTGTGGCCGTTCTCTGCGACGTACATTGTGTTTCTATGGTAGAGGGGCCGCTCATCGATCGGGCTACGGAACTCACTCGTCCCGTTGTGCCTTGGAGCCCTCTCGAGCCCCACCCGCAGCCGCACAGCGCCGCGTGATATATACAGATTAGCATTATCGACAGACCAGTAGACCGGAATGGCCATTTCTGGCTTACTAGCCGTCATTAGCCAGTCATACTGAACCCCGAAGTGTGGAATACCAGTGGCTCGATCACGCTACCTGTTAGAAGTTCAACACATCTAACCACTGAGCCACGGGCTCGTCGTCCAGTCGGGTTTGGGTATGACTGGCTGACGAAGGCTAATGAACCAGAAATGCTCATTCCAGACTCCCTCGTCTCTGTCGGTAATGCCATTCTGCCTATATCATGCGCCGCTATACAGCTGCTGGCGGGGCTTGAGAAAGAACGCTCCAAGGCACAATAGGGACGAGTGGATTCCGGAAAAAGACGATCGGTGATTGCCCCCTCTAACATTGTATATTCTTGATCGCAACCGACAGGATATCGAGCCCGTGGCCCAGTGGTTAAAGATGCTGGATTTCTATCCGACAGATCGCGGAACCGTGCCCGAGGTGTGCCACAATTCGGGGTTGAGTATGAATGTGTTATTAGCTAGTTCTCTCGTACGCGCGTGTTTGAAAATTGATAGGAGACTCATTCAACCTGACCCAGAATAAATGACGCTCTAATGAAGCTTCTAAGATTTACGAAAGTTACAGTCATCAGAAATCGCCAGGGTACGTTTGTTACCACCTGAAATGTTAAACTGTTGAATCTGTTGTTCATTTCCGTGGGAAGTTGCGGTTGCTTATGCGGCGGATGCGATGAATATCCTAATCGTCAAGTGATCTTCCAACCGAACAGATTCAGCTATAGGTGATCGAGCCACCACGCAGCAATGTCCATGTCATCTACACTGACCGAATCGCGTCTGACGTTAATTATGATCTCCTTCCATCAATACGTTTGCAATGTTTCAGTTTATTAAAGCCGATCGTTGACCATATTTCCATGCATCCAGTTATTGTGGTTATTATTAGTGGTTGCAAGTCCCTCAGGGATTATCAGTCGTTGTGGAATTTACGCCCTCCATCGTCTAACTTACTGAATTCAGCTTTCCACGCATAACTTGTTACGCCTGGGAGGGAGTGGAAATACTGTCTAGTTGGTTTTGCTTCCGAACTGCACACCTTCAGTGTTAACCGTTCTGTCGCTCGCGTAGTCGGTTTCAATGCCCTTGGTTCGACCTTCGCAATGCAGCCACAGTTCCCGCCTTTGAAGTCTACTATGGTAGAAGGACCTTGAACTAACTCGGGCGTCAGCGGGATGTGACTGCGAGATAGGGTTCATTCGTGACGTTTCGATAATTCGAGGGATCTCCTACAAAACGCTAGATTGTAGCGGGCAGCCATCATGACCGGTCTGGCGTCATTGTTCAAGACCTCGCCGCCTCAAGATCATTCACCCCTTTTCAGTGAGCCGTTCCAGACGCGCTGACCGACAGCTCGGGCATGCCTGCGTCCGCACAGCCGCAGCTGTCCATGAGGCCACTTGAACGCACCCCACCCCTGCAAACACAACCTAAGCCACTGGGACACCACCCCTCAGCAAATGCAACACACGCGGACTGGACACCACTTGAGCTTGACCCACGAGCCTACAAAAGCGGCTGCCACCACTATCTCAGGGAATCTCCGGCCTGACTGGACGCAGTCAACACCAGCCCTGGCTTTGCCAATGGTCACTGCCGCCTAAAAGGACAACTTCGGGTTTTGTACACAATAAACCCTTTTTTCTGATGCCTTCTGTCTCTCTCTCCTTACAACACTAGAATATGACCTGGTGAGGGTAGCGCAAGGACCACCCACTCATTGCCGCTACAAGCTATCTCTTCTTTGCATATATAGTTCCCAATGAATGGGCTGTTCGCTCAGTAGAGGTCCCTGGCGTAGGTCATTTAGACCGTTAGAATTGTAGCTGCTCTGTGGCTTGCTGCCGTTTGCTGAGACCTGTAAACACAACTGCGAGAACCGAAAATTGGGCGCCGAAATGCACCATTAGGACCTAGTTAAAGTTTATTTTTTCTCCTTTTTCCCTTACCGTCTTTGACTGAACCATGAGTGCAGACGTGCTCAGACCTTTATTTCCCCAGCTCCATTCGTAATACACAAATTTCGAATTTTAAATAACCTTTTACCACTTCATGGGCACTTACAGTAGGTGGGCTAGCTCATGAAATATCAGCCGAAATTCGAAATGCGTTATCGTTTCGAAAAGAGTGATTAAGTAGGGTTGTAAAACTGGTCAGCCTGCAACATAATTCTATAATATTTCAGTTACCTCAGAATGCCGGCTTTCGAATGAACTTCCTTCCGACTGCATGCAAAAGCTATACTCTGTAGGAAATGACTACTTAAATAGCATGCATGCATTCACATTGATTTTCTATGACCTTAAAAATGCAATTATATTTCATGGCAAATATGCATAAAAATATTCATTCTTTTGCTCAGTCGGTGGAAAATTACGTCTTCTTTCAATTTCATACTCGAAGGAAGGATATAATTCGAATTCCTGAATAATTTTGAAACGTTCTACTGTTACACTTGGATTCAGGGTTTCCAAACGACAAGCCGTATATTTTCCGTGTACTGAAAATCATACAGTTATTTATGGTATTTAGAGGAGACCATATGGGTTTATAAAATTTAGCAGTAGATTTGGTCCATATTGTTAACTTTACAAGCCACATTGGTAAATGCGGAGACATGATGATTTATGAACAGCCATTTCGCGGTATTAAAAAGCCTCACAATTAGACACTTTTAGAACCGAATCATGTCCCTTCTTCGAGTATCAAATTAGAAGACGTAATTTTCTACCGAATGAGCAAAAGAATGAATATTTTTACAAATGATTTCCATGAAATATAATTGGACTTTCAGGGCATCGAAAATCAATAAGAAAATTCACGCTACTTTAGTGGCAATTTTTTAAGGAGTGTAGTTTTTGCATGCAGCCGAAAAGAAGTTCATTCGAAAGCCGGCATCCTGAGGTAACTGAAATATTATAGGATTATGTTGCAGGCTGACTAGTTTTACAGTCCTATTTTTTTTTTTGAAACGAAAACGCATTTCGGAATTTCGGTTGATATTTCATGAGTTAGTCCACCTACTGAACTTGAATCATCGTGCACTTCCTGATGTCATAGACCCAGTTTATAAAGGTTATTTTTTTATAAACCATCTACAGGCATTCCGTAACAAATTTAACTGTGCACGGACTGTGGAATGGAATGTTTTATGCCTTCAATATATGATTACTGCTTTCCGCATGCCCTAAGAACTACCTGTGTGGAATGGTCTCATTTGTCGGCAATTTACCGATCCGCCACCAAAGAACGCGCCCACAGCAATAAGCGCGCGCGTGGGTGTACGTTTAAGCAACCAATTTATGGAGTTCAAAAGTCCTCCACGTTTATGACTTTTTTTGAGAAGGCGCTATGCCTCTGCTGATTTCACTGCCATTTACACGCCGGAGTATTCGGGTCAATTAGTTAAGCGTGTCGATTGCGTCGTTCGTACCGAAAGTGTATTCATCTTCCCAAAAGCAACCCCTATCCCCTGCGAACAATGAGAGTTTATATTATTATCGACAAAGACAAGGGGACTGGAATGGCCATTTCTGGCTTATTAGCCGTCGTCAGCCAGCCATACCCAAGCCCGAAGTGTGGAACACCCGAGGCTCGAACTCGCGACCTGTTAGTTAGAAGTCCACGCCTCAAACCACTGGGCCACGATCGCGTTGCCCTGTCGGCCAGAAATTGTCATTCCAGTCTCCCTTGTCTTTGTCGGTAATAGCATTCTGCCTATATATCATGCGCCGCTGTGCGGCTGCTGGTTGGGCTCGAGAGAGAGCCCGTAAGGCACAGCGGAACAAGTGAGTTTCGTAAGATCGATCGATGAGCGCCCCCCACCAGTGTGGGTTTAAATAAAGCGGCAACGGTAGGTTGAAGGACCCCAGTTAACTGTCAGTAGACTGTGCATCGTATCATACGAGAATAATGGTAATGGAAGTTTTACGTGTGGGGTAGCACGTCAGGCGGTGAGCTGACGAAATGCAAGAAGACGCAGAAATTGTTTGGATTTCTACTAAAAGTCTTATCCTAGGCTTTTGTATTGTAACGGAAATGAGCGTCTTAGTTAAAGAAAAGACAGAAAACAAGTTTTCAAAAATAACGAAGTTTGAGTACTGTTTTAAGATTATGAAAAGTAACTGTTGTTAGCAGTATAATGCCTGCAATGGTCTGCAAATAGATGCCAAGATAAAACCCCGTTTTACACGATCCACTTGAGTGTGGGTTTTCATCCTGTCGTTGCCAGTAGAGATTTCAATTTTCTGCGAACAAGGTATGCCTGAACGAGGCAAATGCACGCCAATTGGTTCGCCGTTGCTGAGAACCTGCTACAATAGGTTGGATGGGTGTTTAAGCAGCCAGCTTGCGCAGTTCGTTTTGAGAAGGCGACTCTGAATCTGAAGGTTTCGCTGTCATTCACATGCAAGTGTAATCGGGTCAGATGGTTGACAGCGTTAAGCATTTCTCGTGGAATTCTAAAACCATGCCCTCCTTTGCCCATGAAAATACTCCCATCGATCTGTGAAATCTAAATATGGAGCTCGTAGGTTCCTCCTACCAACGCTTGTTCGATAAATGATGAATCGTCATACCTCAACAGAAAATAATTCCTTCGCAAGGTCACCTCATTTAAACCAGTAGAAACCTATCGGGATTCTCAGATCTTCTAGAGACACGAAATGTTTGTACGACTGCTAACTAATCAACTACTCGTTTATTTTTTCCGTAACTTATCAACCGACATACCCTTGGTGCTCCGCGTATCAGATGTATTGCCAGTTCTAGTTTGAATAAAGTAAAACGTCCTCGAGAGCCTACCACAATGGAATAATATACGTATATTATCGCAGGTGGCACGTTCACTGGCAGGGTCTTGAAGCGCCATCGAAGACCCCAACAGGCAGTCGCCGAGCCACCATTAAGGATGCAGAAGGAGTTCTTACAGAGAAATTGCCGATAAAAGGGTCACTTCTGCCTCAAACGCCTTCCTCATCTTCAAACAGGGCTTGCATGAACAAGGCAAATGCACGCCAATTGGTTCGCCGTTGCTGAGAACCTGCTGCAGTAGGTTGGATGGATGTTTAAACAACCAGATTGCGCAGTTCACAAGTCCTTCACTTTTATGATAATCTTTTTGAGGAGGCGACTCTGCATCTGTAGGTTTCGCTTTCATTCACATGCGAGTGTATTTGGGTCATGCGGTTGACTGTGTTGCACATGTCGCTGATACTAAAAGCGGCAAACCGTAAAATCTCTCGCCTGCAAGAATTGTGGGCGTAAGAAAATGCCTTCAGTTTTCTGCCAGAATGATAGTTCGATACCCTGATGGAAAGTGGTTTGTCGAGTGACGTGACCAGGAGGTTTGTTTCAGGAATTTTAATTAGTTTTAGATTTTGACCACAAACCGAATCCTTGTCAAATCACTTGGGAAAACAGAAACGACAGTTCCGCCGCTGTGACCGACGATGTCCAGCAGGTACTCCACTGCAGGGTTGGAGCAGGGGCGGTGTCTTTCCCGTGAATTCGTTTATCATGATGATTGACATAAACAGGAGGTTCGTTACAGGAATTCAGAGACTTCCAAGCCACGACTTTAAGCCCACCGTGATAACTTGAAGTGCGCCTGATAGTTACCGTATTGCAAATGCGCTAAGAAGAAGCTGGTAAAATGGCCCCATTTGTCGCTCACCTAACCACAGATTCGCACCTTCAGGAAAAAACTGGCGTGGGTGTACGTTAAGGCAACCAGTTTATGGAGTTCACAAGTCCTCCAATTGAGGAGGAGGCACTCTGGCCTCTGCTGGTTTCACTGTCATTCACATGCGAGAGTATTCGGGTCAATCGGTTGACAAAATGTAACCTCTCCCCGCTGTGAGCAATGTGGGTGTAAGCGAGGCTTCCTATTTTCTGCCAGAATGATAATTCAGTGCCCTGATGAAAGGCGGTTTGTCGATCGACGCGACCAGGAGGCTTGTTTCAGAAATTTCCATTGGTTGCAGATTTTGATAGCAAACCGAAACACTGTCGTGACCGACAATGTTCAGCGGGTGGAAGAAAGGAGAGTGACTTGACGGTAGACTCTCGCTACACCCATCGCAGTCCCTCCTCCTCCTCCTTCACCTGGACCCGGTGATTGTGACAGACTGAAAAATATCAGCACGCACAGCGAAGACCCGACAGTTCGACCATCTTGACCGACGATGTCCACCGTGTGTTCCACAGCAAGGTGGAGCATGTGCGGTGACCCGCGCGTGAATTAGTTCATGGCGAGAGAAGACTTGCTTAGCATCTTCCGCACTCTCTCCTCCCCATCTCAACCCGGTGTCAAGACAGAGTCAAGAAGACCGGAGGTGAGGGGGGGGGGGAGTGCAGGTGTGTGGTGCGACCGGACCCCAAGCTAGGTGTACTACACCACGTCGCCTGGTCTAAAACAAACTCTTGACCAGGATTTTAATCAACACTCACAGCAGAGAAGGAGGATGAGTGGGCAGCCATGCTCACGACCTGCATACCCAGGGGGAGCGCGGACACATATACCGACAGGGAACCAGGTGCCAGAAAACTGCCAGTTGACACCAGGCTGTGTGGGCCATGCGTGGGAAGTGGCAATCGTTTGTGTGATGCAGGTCCTAATGGGAGAATGTGTGATAGTATGGTGTATCAGGCTGTTGTATACCACAGGTTTTCCTAAGTACGCATGTGATCCAATAGGCTCAGTCGATGAGTGAAGGTGCCAGCGCAGTATGGACAGTGAAGGCGGGTGCAGCAAGTGTGGATTGGGGTCCCAGGCACTGGTTCGCCAGTCTCTATGCGATGGATTCGCAAGTGATCGACCAGGCCGATGTTTGAAGCGAAGGTGCGACCGCAGTGAGGGCAGGTGTAGTCCTGATCCTCATCGCTGGAGTCGGAGGTAGTGGGGGTGGTGTCGGTTGTTGCGTCGGGATTGGTAATGTGCGAGACGGCCGCCCGAGCGGCTGTCGCTGGGGCAGTGGTGGAGGAGGAGGAGGAGGAGGAGGAGGAGGAGGAGGATGGAAGTAGTAGCCCGAATGGCGCCTTCCCAGCTCTACAATTCACTCATAAAGAAGCAAAAGGAGGCACCCTCCCGTTCCTAGACGTGAGCATACAAAAGCTCATCGGAAAAGCTCTGACGCTGAGATCATCCTGAGCTATTAGAGGAACCACCCAGCAGTCCATAGAAGAAGCTGTGTTCGGACTCTTTTCCACAGTGCCTATCGTTACTGCGGTAGTGCCGATTTACTCAAAAAAAGAACTGGCCTACTTGTATCGCTTTTTCCGACTCAACGGATACCCGATGAGCTTTGTAAGAAATTGTCTCAGACGCCAGCAACAACCACAAAACGTCGACTCTAACGGAGACAGGGCATCACGAAAATTCTATTCCCTGCACTGCATGCCGAGAATTTCCGAAGCGATCGTTCGACAATTAAATCAGTTCGGCATCTCCATCGCCCACAGACCGGCGTCTTCATTGCGCACGAAATTATCCCGGGTAAAAGACCCCATACCGAAGGAGCAGCAAACAAATGTCATTTACCGCATTCCATGTGCAAACTGCTCTAGTGTTTATGTTGGGCATACCGGCCGACGACTTCGGACCCACATTAACGAACATAAGTTGGCCATCCGCCGACGGGACCCCTTGTCTCTCGTGTTTGCGCATCCCCTTGAGTGTGATCACCGCTTCAACTGGGAGAGGACTGAAGTGATCGCTAGTGCCAACACCAAACAAGCGCAAGAGTTTCTAGAGGCTTGGCACTCTAATAACAATGGCATCAACCGCCATGTCGACTTAGACGTTCACTACGAAGGCTTACGTTCACGGTTCGCCGGCTTGCGCCCACCCTAAGACACCAACTGCTAATTCATGTACGGCCATGTAGAATATCACGGATTCAGCACCTCCCCCACAGAGTGAACCATGTGTGAACACCCAACACTTCCCCTAATGTCCGCCACCTATCCAAACAACTTCTTCATCCCCACACATAAACGTCCGGCTTGTCGATGTAACCTGGATGTCTCCCTAGCTCCCCATTAGGATTATCTCGCTCACACTTTTCATTTTCGTCTGAAGACGGGTTGGTGTAACCGACTTGAAAATTCACGAGTATACCTCGATTTTCCGACGAGATTTCTCCCCTAACATTTTATAAGTATATATATATATACTTATATATAAATATATATATATATACTGTCAGGGGGCGCTCACCGATCGTTCTTACGGAACTCACTCGTTCCGTTGTGCCTTAAGAGCTCTCTCTCGAGCCCAACCAGCAGCCGCACAGCGGCGCATGATACATAGGCAGAATAACATTACCGACAAAGACAAGGGAGACTGGAATGGCCATTTCTGGCTTATTAGCGTTGACTTCTAAACCAACAGGTCGCGAGTTCGAGGCTCGGGTGTTCCACACTTCGGGCTTGGGTATGGCTGGCTGACGACGGCTAATAAGCCAGAAATGGCCATTCCAGTCTCCCTTGTCTTTGTCGGTAATGTTATTCTGCCTATGTATCATGCGCCGCTGTGCGGCTGCTGGTTGGGCTCGAGAGAGAGCTCTTAAGGCACAACGGAACGAGTGAGTTCCGTATGAACGATCGGTGAGCGCCCCCTAACAGTGTATATTCCCGATCGAAAACCGACAAGGCAACGGGCTCGTGGCCCGGTGAGTAGAGGCGTTGACTTCTAAACCAACAGGTCGCGAGTTCGAGGCTCGGGTGTTCCACACTTCGGGCTTGGGTATGGCTGGCTGACGACGGCTAATAAGCCAGAAATGGCCATTCCAGTCTCCATTGTCTTTGTCGGTAATGTTATTCTGCCTATATATATATATATATATATTGGAAAGGTAATACCGACAAAGACAAGGGAGACCGGAATGGCCATTCCGGTCTCCCTTGTCTTTGTCGGTATTACCTTTCCAACATATATCACTAGTCGCTGTGCGACTGCCTGCGAGGGTTTAAGTATGAGCCCCAAGGCACAACGGAACGAGCATGTTCCGTAACCTGATCGGTGAGCGCCCACTATCATAATATATATATATATATATATATATATACTTAGAAAGATGAAGTTCTTTGGGAAACAGCAAAATTTCATTGTGAATTTTCGAGACTGGTTCTTCAGCTCGTCTTCAGACAATGGGTGTGCAAAAACAATTAACTTTTAGCCTGAGTCTAGCAAAAGGAGTCAATGATTGGTTAAGATTGTCATCCCGGGATTGGCTGACTCAGTTTGAATCTGTCCTTAACGATTTTGTATGCGGCATCTAAATCGATATGCCGGTTGATGCATGCCTCATCTGAGTGCATTGCTTCCAGGAATTCGCGGCCTTTTCTTGATTGGCAGGCGCCAACAATGCGAGTGTTCTCCCATGCGAATTTATGCCCAGTGTCTAGTGTGTGCATGGCCACCTGGGATAAATGGTCGCGTCTCTTCACCGCTAACTGATGCTCATGTAAACGGGTTGATACAGATTTCCCAGTTTGGCCACAATAAACGGCATCACAACTAGAACACGGGATTTTGTAGACGACACCTTTTCTTTCAAGGTAGCCGACCCTGTCCTTAGGGTGCACAAGCTGTGTGCGTAAGGTAGTTGCCGGCTGGTGTGCTACGTGTATCTGGTACTTTTTCAATTGTCTTTCGACAAGTTCAGATACATTTTTGACGTATGGGAGAGTTCGCCATGTGGTTTGTTTTGCTGCCTGAGTGGCCGTAGCATTGGAAATACCTTTTCCCTTGAGTTGCTGGTACCTCATGCATTGACGTATAAAGTCATGCGGGTACCCATTTTGGGAGAACAGTTTGTAGAGGTATTTCATTTCTGCTCGATAACTTGTTTCGTCAGAGCAGTGGGTTTTGGCTCGATTCAGAAGGCTGTAGACTGTACTCCGTTTGTGAGAGACAGGGTGATTACTCTCAAAGTGTAGGATGACCTCTGAATACGCCTCTTTGCGATAAACTGATGTCTGGAGTGATCCATCGGTTTTTCGACGTACAAGGACATCCAGGAATGGGAGTTGTCCATCGACCTCTGTTTCCAAAGTAAATGTAATTCCTGGAAATATGGAGTTAATATTGGTATGGGGTAGATTCAACTGATCTTTCTTGACGATGACAAAAGTGTCATCTACGTATCGCAGCCAAAGTTTTAGATTGACTGTGGGAAGGGCTATGCTCTCTAATTTCTGCAGTAATGCTTCTGCCAGGAAACCGGATATTGGTGAACCCATGGGGGCACCTTTTAATTGCCGGTAGCATTGATTTGAGAAGGAAAAATTTGTCTCCATACAGAGATCAAGGAGTTGAAGTAAAGCCTCTGGAGGTACCTCAGAAGTATATGTTTGAAGCAGTTCTTCGGTGCAGCTTTTTGCTAAATCTAGCGGAATCGAAGTGAAAAGCGAGACCACATCGAATGACACCGTAATCTCGTCACATGTGATGTTGACACCGCTTAATTTGTCTAGAAACTCTTTTAAATCCTGAATGGAGTTCTCGGAGTTCTTCGTTAGTGGATGTAGTTGACGAAATAGCCATTTCGAGATCTTATAGTTGATAACCGAGATGACAATCTTAACCAATCATTGACTCCTTTTGCTAGACTCAGGCTAAAAGTTAATTGTTTTTGCACACCCATTGTCTGAAGACGAGCTGGGGAACCAGTCTCGAAAATTCACAATAAAATTGTGCTGTTTCCCAAAGAACTTTATCTTTCTAATTATATTTCTTGGGATGCCTGTTTTTTAATTTATATATATATATATATATATATATATATATACATATGTATAGCCATAGGGCGTGGATTTTGTAGGCAACCTGCTCAATATGCTGATATTTTCTCTCTTAATGCTTTCGTCTACTTACGTGTGCACCTTGTAGCTGCCATCACTACCTGCAACCAAACATGGTGGTGGGTCTGCTGGACGCCTTTAATGACAATGACGACAGTCGGAAAAGTTCGCCCCCCACACTAAACCATATTCCAGCACCTGAAGTCTCACAGTTAACTGGCAAGGACGACGAGACATGTGCAGAATTGCATGACGTCAAGAAAATTTGTAATTCACTGGTAGACAGCTTTCCACGTGTGCATTCTCACAGGTGGTCCAGTTAAGAAAGTTCATCCTTTTAATTTTCTGAGAAATGACTTAGTTACGACAGTTCGACCATCGATTTCAATTATGTCCACCTTATGTCCCACAGCAGGTGGCAGCAGGGACGGTGAATTGCGCAGGGGTTTATAGTGCGGGTAGACTTGCGCTGCATCTACCTTCACTCTCTCCTCCTCCCCCGCCTGGGCCCGGACTCAAGACAGAGTCAAGAAGACCGGAGATGAGGGAGACCGCAGGTGGATAGCTCGGACGGATCCTCACCTTGGCGTTCCACCACACCCCCTGGTCCACACAACAAATGACAAGAATTTCAATCAACACAACAGAGATTTGGAGGCTGGCACGGCCGAAGCCGCACCCAGGCGTGCCGCCAACGCCTGGCTCGGATCCCACATTGTGGTGGGAGTGCCATAAAGGCCACATTAAAAAGGAGCCATTGCAGCCTGACTCTCAGACCGCCTCCCGTTAAGGAGGTGGTCCAAGGTACCCCGTCAGTTGGCAACCTTCCAAGCCACGGCTTTTAGCGCACCGTGATAGCTTCAAGCGCGTCACATTGTTTACAGTGAGGAGAAAGTGTGCTGAGTCGTCGACCTCACTCTCCATTACCACTCCCACACCCCAGCCGCTGTCCGAGCCGGTAAGCAGACTGGATTGGGAAATTGGCGCGGTGGCTGGCATGACCGACGGACCATGCCTGCGCGCGCCACAGCACGACCTGGCCCCCCATACACACACAAGCACCAGGATTTCACACAACGGGGGTTGAACGGCGTGTCTCTCACTTGCGTGAGAGTGTCGTGTGAGGTGCTGATTCAGCCCGTCCCCAGCCCACCAGTCCGCCACTCCACACAACACACACACAAACGGACGGACTGCGGGGAACGAGTGGGGGCGTTAATCAGCAACATTCCTATCCACGACGCTTGACGTGTCGGGATAGTCTCGGACTCAAGTTACCCCTGCAGCCGAAGCCGCATGGGGACCGAGTCGAGATGCACACTTCCCACTTGCGTGGAAGGTGGCAGTTGGGTGCATGAGGTGTGGGAGTGTTGATGTGTGGTGGGAGGTAGGGAGTGAATGAATGTGTGGTGTGGCTGGGTGTTGTCTACCGCAGGTCGTCGTGGATGCGCATGTGGTCGAATAAGCCCATGCGATGTCTGAAGGTGCGAGGACAGTGTGGGCAGTTGAGACGAGCTTGGTGGGTATAGGCTGGTGCTCCAGGCACTGGTTCGTCAGTCTCTGTGCGGATGGATTCGCAAGTGACCGACCAGGCCGATGCGAGAGGTGAATGTGCGTGAACACTGTGGGCAGGTGAAGTCGGCGGCGGCAGTGTCAGTTACGGAGGACGCGGTGATGGTGGTGGTGGTGATGGGCGGGCAGGGCGATGGAGCGAGTGTGGTGCTGGGCCTGGTGGGTGTGTTGGATGTGGTGGGTGTGTCGGAATTGTGGTCAATTCCGCACTCGTGAATGCGCATTTGACCGAATAAACCCATGCGATGCCGGAAGGTGCGAGGGCAGTGTGGGCAGTGAAGGCGAGTGCGGTGGGTGTAGGTTGGTGTTCCAGGCACTGGTTCGCCAGTCTATGTGCGATGGATTCGCAACTGACCGACCAGGCCGATGCGTGAGGTGAAGTTGCGGTCGCAGTGTGCGCAGGTGTAGTCCTGATCCTCATCGCTGGAGTCGGCAGAGGTGGGGGTGGTGTCTGTTGTTGCGCGCGTGACAGTCGCCTGAGCGGCCGTCGTTGGAGCAGTGGAGGAGGAGGAGCAGGAGGAGGAGGAGATGGATGGAAGTGCTGGTTCAGAAGAATTGTCCGAGTTAGTTGGCGACGGAGAGGATGAGGAAGAGGCGGGCGGGGGGAAGATGGTTGGTGCAGTTCGAGAGGCGCAGTTGATCCGAAAGTGTCCAACAAGTCCAATTCGAGCTCGGGATGTCCGTTGACATCGGGGACACGTTGGAAGCGATTGTGCGGCTGCCTTGCGTACTGGGCGAAGTAGGGATTTGCGGACTTCGCGTTTCACCTTGGCGGCAGGGATGCGATTGGCTTCGTAGATCGCAGCGCCTGTCTTCACTGTCCTCCTCCAGGTCGGTCGATCGAGTGCGAGCTCTTCCCAGTTGGCCGTGCTGATTTGCATGCGCTTCAGGGAGGACTTCAGGGTATCCTTGTAACGGCGAATTTGGCCTCCTTGACGGAGAGAACCCGTCGCGACGTCTCCGTAGAAGAGTCGTTTGGTTAAACGCTCGTCGTCCATGCGCACCAGATGGCCGCCCCAGCGCAGTTGCATTTGTCTCAGCATGGTGTAGATGCTGAGGATTCCCGTTCGTTCCAGCACATTAGTGTCGGGGATTCGATCCTGCCAGTTCAGCCTCAGGATGCGACGAAGACAACTGAGTGGAATTGGTTCAGTCGGCGTGCCTGCTTTGTGTACACCGTCCAAGCCTCCGCTCCATACAGTAGCGGCGCAGCATGACGGCCTTGCACATCTTTAGCTTCGTGCTCAGTTGAAGTCCGTGACGATTCCAAACTGTGCTTTGGAGACGACCGAAGGCTTGACTGGCTTTCGAGATCCTGTTGGCGACATCGTCATCGATCTTGGTGTTGCGGGAAAGGGTACTGTCCAGGTACGGGATGTTCTCCACCACTTGCAGTTGGGTTCCGTTTACGCTGATTTGCGGCGACGCGTTGGGGGCTGTGGCTGAGTTGGGTGGCGGTTGATGCATCACCACCGTCTTCTGCGTTTTGATGACCAGCCCAAAGTTCTCGCAGGCGGCGGAGAATAGGTCCATGCTGCGTTGCATCTCCTCCTCCGAGGTGGTGTTCAGGGCGCAGTCGTCGGCGAAGAGGAGTTCGTGCTTGGTGGTTGTGGATACGCGCGACTGGAAGGGCATCCGTCGTTGATTCAGCAGGTGACCGTCCGTCCTGTAGGCGATGCGGATTCCAGGGCGTTCGTTGCGGTAGTCGTCCATCAGCATGCCAGAGATAATGAGACTGAAGAGGGTAGGCGCCCGCACGCATCCCTGCTTCACTCTGTTGGTCACTGCGAATGCCTCTGAGACGGCTCTGCTGTCTGTGACTCGCGCCATCATACCGTCGTGCAGCTGACGTACCATCTGGGTGAATCGCTCCGGACAGCCGAATTTCTGCATGATCTTCCACAGTCCCTCACGATTCACCGTGTCGAGGACTTTTGTCAGGTCCACGAAGGTAGAGAACAGGTGGGTCCGCATCTCCTGGCACTTCTCCTGAAGTTGGCGGGCGGCGAAGATCATATCCGTGGTCCCACGATGACGACGGAAGCCGCATTGGCTTTCCGGCAGAAGGCCCTGTTCCAGGTGGTTATTGAGGCGGTTGAGAAGGATGCGAGCGACAATCTTCCCGGCGATGTTTAGCAAGGAAATGCCTCGTTGTTTGTCGCAGAATTGGTGGTTCCATTTTTGCTTGTAGAGATGCATGATGGTTACGTCTTTGAAATCTTGCGGGGCTTCCCCTTGACGCCACATCTCCTGGAAGAGCGCAGTCTGGTGATACATCAGTTGGGGACCTTCGTGCTTGTAGACCTCAGGAGGGATTGCGTCCGATCCGGGTGCTTTCCCGCTGGAGAGCTGTTGCACGACCACATACACACATACGCGTACCCCCCCCCCCCACACACACACACACACGCACGCACACACACACACACACAAAATGCCTGAAATACCGCTACTATCGACAACCTTCTAACCCACATCCTCTTCCTCACCGTGATTGATTCAGAGGCATCAGACTGTTTGCAGTGAGGAATACGCGCTGAGACCGTCGACCTCACTCTCCCTTCTTACTCCCAGACACCAGTACATTGTGCGGGTCGGACACACGTCTGATGTGGGGGCGGGCGCGTTCTTTGTCAGATCTAGAGAGCCCGCCTGAGAACGCCGCATGCACCACCTGCCTCCACAGGTGCACACTCCAGGGTTACATACAAAAGGGGGAAAGTGGCTCGAATCTCACATGTAGCAAAGGAGCTCCATGGAGAGAGAGGCGCCGATAGCCACACTTCCCGCTTACAGTAAAGTTGTCGGTGATGTGGGATTTCGGAGGTGTTCTTGTGTAATGAATGTGTTGATTGGGGACTTGCGGTCACGTCTGCAGTGAGTTACTGCACAGGTGAAAAAATAGGCCAATGAAATGGCTGAAGGTTCAAGGTTAATGCAGGCAGATGAAGCGATGACGCCTGCCGTATGTTGGTGCTTCAGGCGCTGGTTCGCCAATCTCCGTGCAATGGATTCGTGAGTGACCGACCAGTGTGATGTGTGAGATGGGCGTGTGATGACAATTTTTCTGCGTTAATCACCGCAAAGAACATCCTTATTAATTAATCATTTTTTTACGGAATATATATATATATATATTACGGTATAATATAGTACGGTGTAATACGTTCTGTGTATACGTTTCATACTACTCGTAGTGCTACCTGTTTGTAGAATGATTATTACATGGTTATTCCACAGTAGCTGATGGTCTTCGACTCAAATGTTCATTGAAATTTAGCTTCTGGCCCTAAAACGTCATGTCCCCGAGACTTAACTTTATGGCCTGCGCTGAGTAATTTCTAAAATTATTCACTTGATATATATATATATATACCGACAAGGCAACGGGCTCGTGGCCCGGTGAGTAGAGGCGTTGACTTCTAAACCAACAGGTCGCGAGTTCGAGGCTCGGGTGTTCCACACTTCGGGCTTGGGTATGGCTGGCTGACGACGGCTAATAAGCCAGAAATGGCCATTCCAGTCTCCCTTGTCTTTGTCGGTAATGTTATTCTGCCTATATATATATATATGAGATCCTTACCAGAACAGTAAGTGTAAAACGCCTACTTTACATGCTTATATACCTCACTTCATAAGGCCTATGACGTACTAGGGAGTGGTAACGACGGTGAAACAGCTGTCTGTGTCTGGCCTGTTGTACTTTTAGCGAGCTGCCTATGTAATATATATAGATATATATTTAGCCATAGGGCGGGGTTTTTGCAGGCGGACTGCTCAATATGCCGATACTTTCGCTCTTAATGCTTTCGCCTACTTACGTGTGCACATTGTAGCTGCCATCACCGCCTGACAACAAAACATGCTGGTGGCTCTGCTGTTCAAATTTTCGCCAATCGCATCTACATCTCCGCAGACCAAGGCCCTGAGTAAATGACGTCTCCGTGCCTGCCATCAACAGTAGCATTCATAGAGATTATTACTAATTTTATTCAGACAATAATTCGAATTTTGTGACACACCCCATGGAGGTGTATCCGAAATTCTGAACTGCGTTTACAACTAGAAAGGATGCTTTAAATGGGGTTGTAATATTGGTTATCGTGCAGGATGATCCAAATATACCTGAGCCACACCGAGATATCGACGACTGCAAATACTGCGATTGGCAAAAATGGCCAATTAAGTAATCGGTACTTTAAATAAAAGTTCAACGGCATCATAAATTCATATCTGTTCTACAAAACACATGCACACAAATACACTTTCCTTTACCCATTTGTTAGAAAGTCAGACCGTTTCTAAATTTGTTCTCGATGAAATATCATCTTTCGGTTTTCAAAGCGTTTTCGAATTTCCCTATTGTTTTTGGATCTGATTTGTCGTTGCAATTACACATAGTGTGTACAAACCACGTGTTTCAAAGTTACCATGCAATGAATGTCATATCCTCCTCTATTCCGTAAAGAAAATACCATTTAAACCAGGGCAAGCTGAGGTTTACCTCGAGGCGGATCTCAGTCCTCTGATTTACGCACACTCTCTTCGTGTTACCTTACCCATTTTCCCTTCTACATTGATTATTTCTGTGCAAATTCAAATCGCTGTATCCTTCTCATTCGTATCAGTGACGAGATGCAGGTATTCGGTTCCAATAAATTCTTCTGTGTATGCCTAAATAAAGATTCTCACATAGGCCATCCGCCCGCCTCAGGCAAACCAGTTAAAGCATACGTGCACAGACTTGCATACGTAGAACCATGGTGATGCAGTTTCCCTGCAACATTAGATGATTAAAATTTTTATTTGAATACAGGGGCCTATAAGTGCATTTTAGATGGAAAACGCATGTCCGAATCAGAACTCTTGCCTCCCCTTGGAATATATGTCGCCTACAAGTCAAAGCACTATTGGGCACCCAGCGTCTTGTCCTCAGATCCTGTTTACCTGCAAAATCATCTTTCCTATGCACACTGGAAAATGGCTACTCAGCTACCTGATGAGAAATACACCTGTCTGGATATAGTGCGCGGTAGACTTGCGAAGTGCCACGCCTCACTCGCTTTCTTATCAGCATGGACTGGAGACGAGACAGGACACGGTGACCTATCTGGTAAATATGATCACCAGGCGATTGCTGGACGTTCAGTATTCCACAAAGTAGCTGTCGAGTAAAATTCTGGTCCCCGCGTTCGCGTTTCCCTCTTCCCAACCGTTTGGCAAGAATCATCTACGCACACAAAGGCTGTATTTCTTAAAATTGAAGTTAATTCGTTAGCGGATGCCGACTCAAATGCGGAACATTCATTCAGCACGAAAGCTAGATTACGTAGAGTTGAGAAAATGTGAGATCTGGATCCATATCACAACCACTGCCGCGTATACGGCTACGGAGAATTGAAGTTTGTTTGTTGTTGCGATCGTTCCGGCGCTCGATAGTCTCATTTCGAATCAGGAAGACTCTAGATTAGGAAGTGGAATGAAGCGCCGCACAGCTGGAAAACGATGTAATGGGGAAGTGAGATCTATTATCAAATCTATGCGATGGCATGTGCGGAACATCAGTCGAAATTAAAATCACACCCTGTCCCTTTTAGACACGGATTCCATTCGTATTCTTGCCACTTTTACACACTCAAGTCCCCACGTGCTGTATCGCAACACAGAGAAAACATTATTCACCTCAATCCAGTGAGAAAACAAACTAAAAGTGTTTATGAATGAACGGAGAGGCGGCATAGTACACAGATTCTGCATCCTTAAATTGACCTTCGGAGTAGCCGGGTAACGCGCGACCCCCGTCGACTGCGTCGGAACGCCGCGAATCAGCTTGAGGTCAGTCAGGTCAGTCTAAACATCGTGTGGTTAAACCTGCCGCTCAACCTCTTGTTTTCTCCACTAATGTAGGGCAAGGCGGAGGAAATAACCGAAGCTATACACCCGAAGAATGTGGTAAAATAGTGCCAGACAAGGGCTCTGCAATCTAACGTCGCAAAATGTTAATATGTTAGGGCCCCTGGTGTCGGGTCAATATCGCGTGCAGTTTGGCCTACACGGCGTGGGTTTGAAGCCAGCGTGGTAAATGTTTCTGTCGTATATCGAGGAAGTATATCCGGTTCCCGAATTGGGAACCTGAATGGCTCCTTCTTGAACTCGATTTGACGACCATTTGTAAGTTAATGTTTGTACGTAAGGTCAACGGAATTTTACTGCCATATTACAGGCTAGGAGAGGGACTACGTACAAGTATACCTGAAGAAGTAAGTAAGTCATGTCATAGGCGTTTGACGGCAGACATGGTTTGGAGATGTCGTGAATGCTGAGCGGTTGTGCTTCAACTGAGACAAAGTAAACCAAAACGCAGCCGACGATCCTTACAGCACGCGCTGCATGGTGGGTATCGACATGACACAAGAATGCATAGACACCCTTTGGAAAGAAACGAGTTACGGAAGGGGGAAGCGAAAGCCGAGGGTTGATTCATGCCAGACAATGTATCACTAAAAAAAGATCATACTAGAACGACTCGGTTCACGTGGTTACATTAGTGTGCTGGACAAAATTCAAAGGGCAACTTCCTGCAGCTGTGCGTTGATAGACTAAGCAACGCGTGCTAAAAATGTAGTATCTAGTAATACATATTTCAGAAGAGACAGTGGCGAACGAACGTTCCTTTCGGTAACTTCTCATCAGGCCAATACAGTTACATGGGACGGGGATTAAAGTTAGTTTTTAAATTCCAGGCTGGGCAAGAGCGGACGGCCGCAGAAAGTTGTATGTGGTTAGTCAACCTTTGACCACGGTAAGCGCAGAGCCTGAAAGAGGTTCTTTTGGGCGCGTAGAGTCGGTTTTCGTTACCTGATGGCGGCTGCTTCTGCTGCTGCTGCTGCTGCTAACCGGCGCTGGCCCAGTAGCTTAGAGTAGCTCGAGGGGACCTTGTAAATCACACGAAAGGCTTCAGTGGTGTCCACACGATGCCCTGACACCACTGCATGCGCAAGGATGGCGCTGTCTATTCTCCTAGTTTCACCCTTTGCCAGCCATGAGGGGAGGTGTTCTCTTATTCTTTTGGAAAGGCGCCGACTCGTACGACCAAAATAACATGCTCCACAGGAGCAAGTGTATGAGTAGATGCACATTGAGGCGGTCTGAGGTGGCAGCCCATCGTTGCCTTCTCCGCGTAAAATAGGGTTAATAGAGAATGATATGCGAACCCTTGCTGCTGGAAAGGTTTCCGAGACGGCTTGGTCGAGGCGTCTTCTTAGGAGTTCACTTGCAGCGTCTCCTTGGAAGGGGACTTTGAGAAACAACGTTTTCTTTTCGGCGGTTAGTGTGGAGGGTTTCGCGGGTCTTTCGGCAAGGTTATCTGCAATGAACCTGTCAGGATACCCATTTTCGCGAAGCAAGTCCTGGATTTTTCTAAGTTTCCCTTCGATACTATCTGTTGCACAAATTCTTCTAGCCCTTTGTGCCAAACATCTGACAAGAGTCCGTTTTCGTTGGAGAGGTACGAAATTAGCGAAGTTCGTGTATTGCCCAGACCAGATTTTCTTCCGATATACGCTCCTTCGGATACTACCGTCAGATATCCTGTTTAAAAGGACATCTAAGAAAGGAAGCGAACCAGCCGTTTCGATCCCCAACGTGGATCTGATCGACGGATGCACCTGATTGGTAGCATTTAGGAGGGCATAGACACCTTTTGAAAAGAAACGAATTACGGATGGGGAGAGTGAAAGCCGAGAGTTGACTCATGCTAGATAATGTATCACTAAAAAAGATCATACTAGAACGACTCGGTTCACGTGGTTACAGTAGTGTGCTCAGCAAAATTCAAAGGGCAACTTATTGCAGTTGTGTGTTGATAAACTAAGCAACGCGTGCTAAAAAGTATTGTACTTTGTAATATATATTCAACATAGGGTGATTACATAACCCAACCTTATGGCAGATTTTATTCGTACTTCTGCATTTTGCATACACTCAAGTCCTCAAGCGCCTTATCGCAATGCATCGACAACGTTGATCCCCACAACTCAGCTACAGAATCATCTAAAAGTATTTACGAATGAGAATTGGGGGACATAATGCACAGATTATGCGACCTTAAATTGACATTCGGATTAACCGGGTAATGCGCAGCCTCCGTCGACTGAGTCGGGACGCCTTGCATCAACTTGAGGTCAGTCAGAAATCCAAGCATCGAGTAGTTCAGGCCGCCCAACGACCTCTGGTCCTTACCACAAAGGCAAGACGCTGTTGACAAACTCGGGAGATACGCGTCTCACACGAGAGTGCACTCTGGTGGCAAATGGGCCTCCTTTCTGTCCGACGGCGTCTCCAATAGGCGTCCGTAAGGCCACTCGGGGATTAGAGCAGTCGACCGCGTCCTCGTTACCCGCAGACCTCGGGACCTCATTCCGGTAGAGGTGACAGACGGAAGATGAGGGGGGAAGGGAATATAGCGAAAACTGGCCTACAGAATACTTCGAACCTGCAAACCTCGTCTTTTTGATCCCGTTCTGGAGTCTATTGTCGACTCGGCCGCATTGAAAAATGATCCCATAAGATGCCGTAGCAATATATATCCGGTCTGACATTCGCACCGAATGTCTAAATCAATGAACGAGGGACTGCGATACTCTTCTATGCGACCGCAAAATTGACTTGCATGAAAAGCAGTCCTAGATCGGTTCGTACACAAGGGTCTGGAAAACGCCTAAGTGCTAACAAGCACATAGTACAAATGGTAGAAGGGCGAACACCGATCGTTCTTACGGAACGCACTCATCCCGTTGTGCCTTACGGGCTCTCTCTCTCGAGCCCAGCCAGCAGCCGCACAGCGGCGCATGATATATAGGCAGAATGGTATTGCGGACAAAGACAAGGGAGACTGGAATGGCCATTTCTGGTTTATTAGCCGTCGTCAGCCAGCCATACCCAAGCCCGAAGTGTGGAACACCCGAGCCATAAAGGCAAAATGTTATTACGGACTAGAATGGCCATTTCTGGCTTATTAGCCTACATCATGCGCCGTTGTACGGCCGCTGGTTGCGCGCGTGAGAGAGCCCGTAAGGCACAACGGGACGAGTGCGTTCCGTAAGAACGATCGGTGAGCGCCCCTCTACCATTGCATATTCTCAATTGCAACCGACAGAACAACAAGTCCGTGGCTTCGGATTGTTAGCCCTAGATCGGTTCCCACACAGAAACATATTAGGCGTTCGGCAAACACTCGTTACATCCACTTACGCCAAACACACTAGTCAATAAGTACTACATAAATGGCGCATATGTCGCGGCAGACTTCTGTGGACGCCTAAACAGGACATGGGAATAGGTACACCCCGCCGCACTAATAATGATGGACTCGCACAAAATTTCGGAAGGGGCAAAATCATCCATTGTCTTAACCCCAACGATAAACCCACTATAAAACTAAACTGTTGTCATAATTTTTTAGTGCATGTAACACGGCAGACGAGATCACTAGCTGTGTCAGCAACATCGGTCTGCCTCGTACACAAAATGTCCGACCGCATCGTAGGATCCGGGTCGGGTGTGGCGGCACACCTAGGAGCGGTCCTGACCGCGGAAGCCTCCAGTACTCGAACACGCCTCCAGTCTTCTTAGCTATGTGTTCACACCGGGCCTACGTGGGGGAGACAGTGCGGCAAATGCTGTGAAAGTCTACTATAAATTAATTTTCATGCAATCTGACAAATCGACAGTCGTTTCCGACGATGTCCAACGTGTGCAACATAGCAAGGTGCATCAGGCACGGTGACTTGAGCGTGAATTGGTTTATAGTGATAGTCGAATTGCGTAGCATCTACTGCAGTCTCTATCTCGCTCTCTCTCTTCCACACTCTCCACCTGAACCCGATATCAAGACGGAGTCAAGAAGACCGGAGGCGGGATGGGCGCAGATGAATGATACGGTCGAGCCGGCATCTTGGCGCTCCACTCCACACCGCCCGATCCACACAGCAAATGACCAGGCTTTTGACCAACAATAACAAAACAGCAACAACACCAAAACAGGGGTCAGAAGGCCAAAGGTGGCTGGGAAGCCATGCAAGGCTTGTCCAGCGGTGGGCTCGCGTGACGGACGTAGTAGGTCACTCCCTTGCTTCCAGGTGCGGACTACGCTTAGCGTCCAGTTTCTGGTATCAAACTCTCACATGTGGCTCCCCGATGCTAGGTTCAACCTAGCGGCCAAACCCCGGCAACCGCCTCGACCGGTGGGCTAAACCAGCTGAGGATATCTGTTTGTGCATCTCCGGGCCTGGTAGGTTCGGCTTCGCTGGCCGGATGGATCTTTGCATCGACATCGTCGATACGAAGCGAAATTCGCTCCACTGCCTTTGCTTCGCTTGTTCTTGTTTGTCTGCTCTCTGTCTGCTTTCGTGTCTGTCCTTGTTAAAATCTAACAGCCGTTCTGCTGAATTTCCTCTGTTGCTTTTGCTTCTCGCTGTTCTGCCTGCTAGCTTTTGTCCTTGCTTCTGTCCTTACTGCAGGTTAAATGCCGTCCTGTCGAATGTGTTTGCTAACCGCTCATATTTCAGCAACTAGTTAACCTAGCGAATGACGGGAAAGCTCTGCATCCCGTCTTTATATTCACCCTTTATCATCCTCCTCTTCAGCTTTCCGCGACGTCGTCAGATGTCTCACAGGTCGTTCTCTTAAAAAACAAAGACGTGACCCGTAGTGGGGTTCGGCAGTCACATGACCCGACACAGCAGCCATATGTACGGATTGCACTGCTCATTCCAGCGAGAGGGAAAGGGTTAGAAAAGGTGCCCTAAACAAATGCTGGGGAACCACGTCGTCTTCAGGCCGATCGTGGTCGAAGACGCTAAACTCACAGTCGAAACAACCCACAAAGTAAAACAACAAAAACATGCTCTTATCTTCTCCCTTCTCCTTCTCCTCCTCCTTCTCCTCCTCCACTGCTCCATCGACGGCCGCTCAGGCGACTGGCACGTACACAACAACCGACTCCAGTGATGAGGATCAGAACTACATCTGCCCTCACTGCGACCACACCTTCACCTCACACATTGGCCTGGTCGGTCAATTACGAATCCATCGCACAGAGACCAGAGAATCAGTGCCTGGCGCACCACCCTACGCACACCGCAGCTGCCTCCACTGTCCACACTGTCCTCGCACCTTCACGCATCGCATGGGTCTATCGGGCCACATACGCATCTACGAGAGTGGAATTGACCGCCGTACCGACTCATGTATCACGCCAAACCCCACCCCCAACATGATCACCCTGCGCCCCCACAGCCCTTCCCACAACCAACACTGACACCGCCGACTTCTCATGCCCACACTGTCCCCGCACCTTCACCTCACGCATCGGCCTGGTCGGTCACTTACGAATCCATCGCACAGAGACTGGCGAACCAGTGCCTGGAGAACCAACCTATACCCACCAAGCTCATCTCAGCTGCCCACACTGTCCTCGCAGTTTCAGGCATCGCTTTGGCCTATTCGGCTACATGCGCATCCACGACGACCTGCCGTAGACAACCGCCGGCTGCAACACACACTCACACACTCCCTATCTTCCTCCTCCACCACCACCACATCACCCCACCACACATCTACACTCACCCACCGTATGCACCCAACCGCCACCTGCCACGCAAGTGGGAAGTGTGCATCTCGACTCGCTCCCAGTGCGGCTTCGTCTGCAGGGGTGACTTGAGTCCGGGACTATCCCGACACGTCAAGCGTCCTGGATAGGAAGGTTGCTGATTGACGCCCGCTCTCGGTTCACGCAGTTCGTCCTGTTGTGTGTGCGTTGTGTTGAATGGCGGACTGATGGGCTGGGCGACGGACTGAATCAGCACCTTCTCCGACCCCCCTCATGCACGCCGTTCAACCCCCGTTGTGCGATATCCTGGTGTGTGTATATGGGGGGCAGGTCGTGCATGTAGCGCGCGCAGTCATGGTCAGTCGACCATGACAGCCACCGCGCCCATTTCACACTCCGGTCCGTTGACCGGCTCGGACAGCGGCTGGGGTGTGGGAATGAGAAGGCGGAGTGAGGTCGACGACTCAGCACACTTTCCTCACCATAAACAATCTGACGCGCTTGAAGCTAGCACGGTGCGCTAAAGCCGTGGCTTGGAAGGTGGAACACTGACGGGATAACTTGGATCTCCTGGACTGGAGTTCTGAGAGCCAGGCTGCGATGGCTCTTTCTTAATGTGACCTCTATGGCACTCCCACTGTGTGGGATACGAGACGGTTGGTGGCGGTACGCCTAGGTGCGGCTTCGGCCGTGCCAGATTTCACTGTTCTTCTTGGTGTTAATAAAAATCCTGGCCATTTGTTGAGAGGACTAGAGGGTGCGGGATGGAACGCCAATGTGCGGATTCGTCCGAGCCATCCACCTGCGACCTCCTTCGTCCCCGGTCTTCTTGACTCTGTCTTGACACCGGACTCAGGCGGGGGAGGAGGAGAGAGTGTAGGTAGATGCAGCGCAAGTCTACTGGCACTATAAACCCCTGCGCAAGTCACCGTCCTGCTCCCACAATGCAGTCTGTGGGTCACACGGTGGACATCGTGAAACACGACGGTCGAACTCTCGTCTGTGTGTGTGTTTTGGAGTGTAAGCGACTACTTTCTCAGAGGATTAAAAGGATGAGATTTCTTAACTGGACCACCAGCCAGAATGCACACGTGGAATGGATCACAAAATTTCATGACTTCATTAAATTCTGCACATGTGTCGTCGTCTTTACCAGTTAATTGTGAGACGTCAGGTGCTGGAATACGGTTTGGTGTGGGGAGGCGAGCGTTGTCGACAGTCGTCACTGTCATTACTCTCGTCCTTTTTCAATACCCCGTTGCGTCAAGGCCATTCGCCTCCGCGGCGAGCAGAAGCACACGCGCTGATCTGCAACCCCTCAACCGACTTCAATATGCTACTGCGCCACTTGAACACAGCCATCCTCCTGCAACCAACAGGGGAAGCCACTTGAGCACCACCCGCCGGCGAATGCGATACACACACGCCACTTATACTTCACCTGAGTCTCTTCCCACAAACCTACAAAAACAGCTGCCGCCACTGTCTCGCAGACTCTCAGGTATTGAATAGACGCGGTCACCACCAGCCCCTGGCTTCGCCGGCGACAGTGGTCGCCTGAAAGGACAACTTAGGGTTCTGCATAGAATAAAGCTTACATTCTGATGCCTTCTGCCGGGAGTTGTGGCGCACTGCTTATCTGCTACTTGAGACATGCGTTTTCGAACTGCAAACACGCCTTGTATTCGAGTGAAAACCTATGTGGTAACAATCGGGAGATGGCACCCAAAAAATCCGCCTAACCAAAGCAGACTGTCTTACGGGACAGATGGTAATCGGGGTTTTATGGGTGGTGGCTGGTCGGGATGTACGATACCAGCCGACAGAAAGCCTTATTTGAACAGATGAATGATCGAAGTTGGCCCGCTCTCCGTTCCGTTATTACAAAATGGGTAACGAAAGGCAGTGTAATGATAACGTACGAGTGGAAGGCGTATAATCGTTCTCCCTCAGAAGGTTATCTACATTTCACTGTTAACCACTCAAAGAAATTCAAGGACCCTACCACCGTACGGCACACCAATGTCATTGAGGCATACTGGAGTAGACTGAAAAGGAAACTCCACGAGGGATGCCCTGTATGTGGTCGAGCTGTGTGGGCTCACATAGACGAAGTACAGTGTCGTCTTTGGTTTGGCCTCAATGCCATGTCTTTGACAGATGCCCGGGAACTGTTCCTGCCCCATGTTGTGCAGACTTATCCTATTTAAAAGTGATATCGTTTTGTAGTAAACTGCCATAATGCGAATGTATGCCGTATATTCAGGTGTACGTGTGTAACGATGGGGAAGGTTGGGTAACAGCGACCATCGTCTATGTAACCTCCTGCGATGTGCGTTCGGCCAGCCCATGTTAGGCCGTCGGGGAAAGTCCAGGTAGTGCGTGAAAGTAGGCCTGCGACCGCTGATATAGCCTGAAGGCGTTTGAGTCCACTGATAAAGTTATTATTTCTAGGTAACGGATTTTTTTGGATGCCATCTCCCGATTGTTACCTACGTATATATGCCTGCAGGAGATACTCATGTGAATATTTGAACCGAAATACATCAAATACAGCAGGATAACCGCTGAATATTCTTAGATTGTCAGTGGACAGCCAGTGGTACACATATGCATTATGATTTACAATACTGAATACTTGGCCGTATAGCGCCTAGATGGCCTTCCGACCAGGAACCAAAATTCCTATTTCAATGGGTTTCATGATACACCATGGCAGTTCCGTCGTCGGTTTCGACATTGTCCAGCGTGGGC